AGGTTGAGAATAAAACTAAAGCACTTTATTGCTCCCTTGTGGACAAAGCCAGAACTGCTGATGGAAAACAGTCACACAGCCCATGTCAAGAAATGAGTAAAATGCATATTCAAATTTACAGAAGATTGAGAAGAAATCATCCCATTTTCAGAGGCTGCATATATGCCCTTGGGGAGACAACTTAAGAAGTAAACACCAAAATTATGCCACACTATTTATTTTTAACCTAATGAATTGAAAAATAGAGCATGAAAAGATGTTTCTAGGAGGGTTAGGAGTTCTAGCAGAATAAAAATACTTTCCACCAACTTTCAAACGCAATGAAACATTCTCAAGTCCTATACAGGATGTGAGTTGAAGTCTATCATTCTCATCAGATGGTCCCTTCTCACCTGTAAAAGACAGGTAGGGAGGAAGCTGTGTTCATTCAGAGGAGCTGGATATTCCAGAAACAACTTGATTCTTTGGCACACCAGTACAGACACAGGTTCTTTAGTTGATCAGAACTAGCCAAGGCAAGTATCAGATTTCCTTCTGAAGTTCAGCAAAATTCAGCTTCCATGCCCCTTCTTATGCCATCCTCACTTCCTATGAAATCATTTTCAAGTAATGTGTAACATCCCCGAACTCACCAGAGAAGCTGACATAGTGTGAAAGTAACCTGTGACTGGAAAGCTGTGGGAACACTTCTCAGGGGCAGGAACTCCCTTGGATGCATGCGTCAAATGTTTCCTACTGAAGACATACAAGACAGCAGGCTGTCTCGCAGATGTGGTTCCTCCAAATGACATGCAAGCACAGCTCTCCATGGTTTTATGGCCTGGGACTCCAAAAAGCCACAAATTTTAAAGTAGATAGTGTAAGTAGCTAGTTACTATCCAAGAGGCAAACTTCCAGATAAGTAATGAGGAAGAAACATCAAGGTGAATTAAGTGAGAAGTATTTAACACAACAACCAGGAACCCTTGTTACTGATTTCTGTAACATAAAAATTTACCTTTTTCATTTTGTAAACTCATCTTCCCATCCCAAATAGCAGTGAAGCCTTCAAAAATCTTGAATTTATTCATCATCATACATAACCAAATCTCACAACTTTGCACTATCTCACCAATAATATACTGTCTGTTGCCAGACAGGAAAGATGGAGAATGTATTAACAGCTGCCTTCTTCAACACCCACCTTGTGTGGTTATTAGTCTTTAAAAACCTGAGTACTATTAACTTTAAGGAAAAGGACATGAGATTTTAAGTCAGAAAGGAAAAATGTTGACTAAGGCCCAAATGTTCAACTCCAAGCTTTCATTGATGTAAAAAATGCAACCAAATCTCATTTTAAAGAGTTCATTTTTTTTCCTTCTTCTCCAGTTTTGGAGAACAGAAAGGGAGGAAAAGACCTGTACACAGCAGACTTCCGCTCTGGCTGTGGAAGACTAGCCAATTGCTAAATGTTTTATCAAGGAGGTGTTGGATCGTATCACGTGGAAAACACTGCAACCTCCTTTTTATTACATCCTTCATATATTATGTATCCATTATACGTTTTAAATGAATTAGATGAAAAGAGCTAGAAAAAGTAAACAGAAGTTTTTGAGGGACAGGGCCATGAGAGAGCAGAAACCCAGAGAGCAATTTCAAATTAATTTGACTAAAATAAAGAGTACAGTCTCACAAAATGTGTATGGAACAGAGAGGGCACACGGGAACAGGGCAGAGCAACAGCAGCACTCAGGATCCCTTCATCAGAAAGGGGAGGCATTCAGGAAGACATCAGTTGAGAAAAAGATGTTCAAACAACATATTCAATGATCTTTAATTTTAAAGGAACGTTGAATTTCTGGTGAAAGTAAGGGAGGTGAAGAGTGAAATAAGGATAAAATCTTTCAACAGAGATATATGTGAAGAAATAAGATATAAATAAAAGTTAAAAATGTAACCTAAAAATGACATGGAGGTACAAAACAGAAATATAATCAAAATTCATATCCAAGGTTTTAGCTAGTTTGTAGAGTTAAGCCCACTGGATATAAGGGTGAATTCCAATACTCATGGAGAATGAAATAGAGGTAGGATTTAGATCAGGAAAAGAATGTTCCAGGATGCTGGCATCTTGAAGGCACTCAAAAACAGAGTGAGAGAGACTGAAGCTGCAGTGACACTGGAGGATTAGAGAGAGGTGCATACTCTTGTATCTGTCATAAGAAATAAAAACTCCAGGAACATGTGACCATATATATATATTATCGAGTAATACATAAAGTAACAACGCAGAAAGAAAGCTACCTTATAAGTACTTTCTTACAATATAGATTCTACCTGGAGGGAACAAGAAAGAGTTTGTTTTCCAAATATGCATGTCTGTAAAGTAGTTCTGACTTAAAGAAAGAATTTGATAAACGGTATGTGATCTGGTTCTTTAAACAAATTTACTGAAGCAAAAGCGTCAAAGCTGGAACAACCAAGGAGTTTGATTTTCCTTTGAATCTTGCAAAACCTACCCTCTAAGACAAAAAGATCTGATCATAAAGTCTATAAAAAAGTCTAGAAAGTATAAAAGTATAGAACTATGAAAGTGGATATATTGATGGCAACTTTTATGGCTTCCATAGAAAGTGTAGAGAGGATCTCTGGTTTGCTTTATCGAGGTAGTGTCCAGGGTTGGAAGGTCATCGTTATTTATTGTAAGTGCTACAGATGACAAAAGCAGGTTAGCTAGGGTGTTGTTATTGCATAATAATGCCACTATCTCTAATGGCTTATGACCTTTCATTCCTAAAAAAAAAAAAAATCTTTTGAGAAATTTCCTATCTTGGTTCAGGCAAAGGAAAATTAAAACCCAAACTTTACTTTCACAATTTTATAGTCTGAAGAATCCCAAATGAGTTGATTTTTTAAAACGGTAATTAGCTGATAAAATTCTTAAATGTAATATATCCCCTTTTTCATTGAGTACTTCTCATACAGTCCAGAACAGCACTGAAATATTTATCTTGTGGACCAGCAATGCAATAAAAGTTGTCTTTTCTATACAGTAGCTCAAACAGAAAGGTTTCTCTAACTTAAGTTTTTTAGTTTTTTTTTTTAAAACATAAAAACTGACCTATCATTCTGTGTTTTACTAACCGAAATCTGCAAGATGGGGTATATATACATATATCTGCATTGGATTTCTATCTCTGCTTCATCTTCTCAAAATTTAAAACTTCCAGTGAAATCATAATGAGACTAAACATATATATCTATTCAACAAACATAAAAACTGAAAAAAAAAATATCAAGAAGTAAAAAAATTCATAGTTTATAAACATCTCTTCCGAGCATTTTGCTTTCGGTTAGTATATGAGGGACAATCGAATTATAGGGAAAGTTCTAATCACTAGAAAAAGATACTTCCAACAAATGTGGTTTTAAAAAAAGGTATAACTATGGTAATGCCCATGCTCAGTCATTAATCTAGAACAGTTAATGTAAATGGTAGACTATAAAAGTACAGGGAACTGATTTGCACAGGCTTCTTTGAACTACAGTAAGGTTTTTTTGTGGAGATCTCCCCTGCTTGCTAACAATAAGAATCCAGTCACAAATGTATGTGGAAATGAAGCCAAATGCCTTTAAATTGCTGTCTTTTCTTCATTCAAATTTAAAAATCTAACTCAGAATGAGCCTACCTGACTCAATTTGAGAAAGCAGCAGCCTTCTTCATTAAGGCTAAGGAAGAGTTTACATTTGACTGATAAATCTATGAGAAAAAAACAGAAAAATAAAGACAAACACAAACCAACCAACCCACAAAAAACAATGCCAACTCATTCTCAAGTAAGTCTTAACCCTAACAATGATACAAGCCTTTGAAGACAGTAAAACGAAATAATGAGGGACAGCATCAGTTTGATATCTATATAATGCTTAAATCCGGCCTTTGTTGTCTTTGACCTGTACAGATAAGGGCTGAGAACTCAAACTTCTCCATAATTCTTTTTTTCATAAACAGATGAGTAGGTAAAAAATTTTGAAGCATTCATGGGGTGCTGTAGCATATATGGAAGAGAACATACCACAATATTCAACTTTTATCTTACAAAGAGGACCCCAACCAAATTTTCAACCCTGAGTTTGAGTCTTAAGCATGTTAAATCTGTTGCACATATATGTTTAAGGCTTAATCCTGCAGTTCTTATATTCAGAAGCATTCATGTTGTGAATATTCTTAATGCATTTCATTATTCATATGCAATATGATACTGGTGAGGAGTCATTATATTCTGAGCAGTCTTCCTGAAGACCACAAACCTCAAGTCAAGGAAAGTAACTTAATCTAGGAGAAAAAAAAAGAAAGTTTTAAAATTGTTCCACAATACATTTCACTAAGAATTGTACTGTGTAACAATGCTAATTTTATTTTTAAAAATAATCTTTTTCTTTTCTTTGCTCTGTTAAGGATGGTGGTGATTATTTGCTTAATACTGGTTTTCCTGTATAGCAGATATTTTCTTATGGCTATATTTACTTGGATGGAAAATCAAAGATGACTACCTGAATATTCCAGTGTATAATTATAGTACACCTCATGAAATGGTTGATTCCGTGGTCTCAAGTCTAGAATTCAGAATTGCTGCCCATATAACTGTAAATTTATTTAGAACAAAATAAGGCGGCCAGTCGCAGTGGCTCACGCTTGTAATCCCAGCACTTGGGAGACTGCGGCGGGTAGGTCACGAGGTCAGGAGGTCGAGACCAGCCTGGCCAATATGGTGAAACCCAATCTCTACTAAAAATACAAAAATTAGCCGGGCATGGTGGTGCACACCTATAATCCTAGCTACTTGGGAGGTTGAGGCAGGAGAATCGCTTGAATCTGGGAGGCAGGGGTTGCAGTGAGCCAAGATCATACCACTGCACTCCAGCCTGGGTGACAGAGCAAGTCTCTGTCTCAATAAAAAAAAAAAAAAGAAAGAAAGAAAAAAATAAAGTATAACCAATTGACCAAGCTACAAGTTAACTTCTTTAAAAAAAAATTATTTTAATACTACAGGCTTGACCATGAAATAATGATATGTTTATATAAAAGTGTAGGTTGACAAACTTGTCACGGAATGCCAAGGAGACTATGGAAGGAGGGGAAACAACCACTAAAGATATAACAGTCATAGGCAAGGAATTAACTTTCCTTTTTGGCTTGGGTACCTGGGTGCTCAAAGAATGTGTACAAATATTAAAAATACCATTCTTTAAAACTTACATCCAAAAACAGGGAGAAAAGTATGTCTTCAGATACTTTTCTGCCTCATTTCAAAATTTTCCTATGCTCATTATATAAGACAGGCAAAATCAGAAGGAGAAAATTTAGAAACATTAAACCAAAAAGCTAATAGAGAACGTGATGTTTGAAAAATAGGGACTTAACCTCAATTGAAAGAGTTCCATTTTTTTCCTACCACAGAGCTAATTAGCTAGAAAAGTGCTCAAAGCGTATCTGCACATTTAATATTGAAAATAATAAATAAATAAAAGTCAGCATTCTGATTCAGGCAATGACTTTAAGAACCCAAGGAAAGAAAAATAAAGAAATTTCAAGATTAAAAAATGGACTGGGCATAGAAGCGTGCGCCTGTAGTCCCACTTACTTGGTTAGCTGAGGCAGGATTGCTTGAGCCCAGTAGTCTGAGGCTGTAATGTGCTATAATTGTACTTGTGATCAGCACTGCACTCTAGCCTGGGCAACACAGCAAGACCTTGTCTCTTAAAAAAACAAAATTGGAGAGGGGGTGGGGGATAAGTGATTTAGCCCGGGAGCTCAGTTCTCTGAGATAAGAAATACAAAATTTTAAGCTATACTGAGATAGATTTGATCAGTTAAGAGTAATCAATACACTAGCCCTTCTGTTCAGCCTTTCCTATAATAAGCTCCTGGTTGATTATATTCTTTTGAAGTTCTCCAAGCTTGAAAAAGTAATCTGCCTAAAGGTATTAGAAGTGCTGCTCTCTTTATCACCTAAGAATGCTGGTATTACATAATTTGCAGAGGACAGGGCAGTAAAACTTAGGAGTTTTCCCTCACTGCTATTTAAATTGTGTTAAAATAGCTCAAATTTGTGAACACATCCACATTTTACTCATAACCAAGTCATCTTCTCATCTGAATTTCTCAGCCCCTACGGCAACATCATGTTTGTGATTTCAAGTTTACCATTTTGGCTTCTAATAACAATTCTAGAAAAATAAAGCAACCTCAAAATGAGAGATTTCAATTTGTCATCCCATAAAAGCTATACACGAACACAGTTCCTAAGGGAAGTGAGAAACAGATGTGACTGAGATGAAATGATCTCCACTTCCTCCTCCTGTCAGCAAACAGCCTTATTCAAATTTTCAAAACATGCAAGTTTTAGGTGACTTCCCTGGAAAAGGCCCCAGCCCCTGCAAATCATTTCATGTAATGCACTAACGGAGCCAAGGAGAACATGGAGGACAGGAGCACATCAGGGAGCCTCTTTGAATGTTAAGCAGAGATTTCAAAACTACCAAGTATTTATGCCAAATCCTGAAAGCAAAACCTTGTTTTTGCAGTAACCTGGTCTGGAGACCCTCTCAGACATCTAGTTTCTGAAGCACCTTTTGAGTTGTACGGATGTAAGAATAACTTTGAATTATAGAAGTTATATGCATCTTTAAGAATCACATTTTGATGGTTATAAAATTTTTTTTCTATTTTACAACGTAGGTTCAGCTACACTGAAAAAATTACACCGCTTATTGAAATACATTTCATTTTAGAAACAGACTACTAAAGAAGTCTATACAAAAACTCTAAAATAATTTCTGTAGTAAAATAAAGAGTGCGTTAGGAGAGCTACACAAAGAAGAACATGTCTGTCTTTCTCTATAATGCTTGATATACTGTGAAACACGGCCAGCTCAACTCTGTAGCTGGCACCAAAAGCTGAAAAGAATTCCTTACCATACACAGTGATACAATTAATGCTCTGGATTAATCTCACAGCCTTCCCGATTAGTACAAAGGAAACCAGGCCTATCCCCTCTTTGAGGAGAAGTCTGGGATATAAAAGCAAGCATACCTCATCAGCTGATATGAAATTATAAAATTCCACAAGTCTGAGTATTTGAAACTTATAAAAGTCATCAGAAAATGCAAGCAAATTGGGCTTTCGTTCAGTGGTTCCCCTGGTTTAGATGACAGTCCCTCAGTGAGCTCAAGGTAGTCTTCTTGTTCATTCCCTTGGATCTGTTGACTCAATGACACTGGCGAAGCTCTTGATAGAGGCAGAGAGTCTGAGAACCAAGGAAATGCTCACCAACTCCCTCTGTGCACACTCACACATGGGGACGTGTCTCCTGGAGAACACACTAAGGAGACGGATGTTAATGATGCTGTGCTGAACTGTTCTTCTCTGCCAGGTGCCGCAGAAAGTTGTCCTCATTCTGGCCTCTATGATTTAAAGGCTCACTCTTAAAGAGAGCTGGAGGTGGGGGGAGGTGAGGGACCGGAGGGATGGGAAGGTGGTGTGGGTGGTGAGGGTGTGGGTGGATGTGCAGGTGTGAGAAGGGGTGGGGGATGGGCCGAGGGGGAAGAGTGCTTACAGGATTCATATTGATTGGAGGGGTGGGGGTTGTGGGTGTGTTCACCACAGAAGGAACTGGGGTGGCTGGGGAAGTTGTAAGTGGGATCTGGACAGCAGGCGGCACATTCACGGGGCTGGTCACCCGAAAGCACTTCTCCTTGTGGGCCTTAAGCATGTTCGAAAAGCGGAACCTCTGGCCACACACATCACATGGATAGGGCTTCTCGCCTGTGTGTGTTCTGCGGTGTCTCTTCATGTTGGGGCGGCTGGTGAAGCTTTTGCCACAGATTTCACAGATAAAGGGTTTCTCTCCTGAGATGAACACAGACATAAAAATGATTAACATATTAGGTGGTAACTGTGTGCTTATGCTATTTCTCTTTCATTATTATTCTTTTCTTTTTTTTTTTTTTTAAGATGGGGTTTCACCATGATGGCCAGGCTGGTCTTGAACTCCTGACCTCAGGTGATCCACCCACCTCAGCCTCCCAAAGTGCTAGGATTACAGGCATGGGCCACCACGCCCGGCTATTATTATTATTTTTAATAGAAATGGGGCCTCACTACGTTGATCAGGCTGGTCTCAAACTCCTGGCCTCAACTGATCCTCTCATCTTGGCCTCCCAAAGTGCTGGGATTATAGGTATGAGCCATTGTGCCTGGCCTATGAGACTGTATTCAAGAGTCATCTAAAAATCCCCTCAAATTTGGACTTAACAGATCAGGGTAGATACACCTAAAACTTACATATATCCTACCATCTGGGCTTAGCTAAAAGAAGAAGATAAAGATGGGGGAGGAGGCACCTACATTAGTAATCCTCTACATCCTACACAAAGAACAGTTCAACTGGCTTTCTGTGCCAGAGAAAACATCCTAGATGACTCTCTTTGCCTTTAAATTTAGGCAAATTAATCTGTAAGCAATTTATTTTTTAAAATGGAGCTTCACTCTTGTTGCCCTGGCTAGAGTGCAATGGCGTGATCTCGGCTCACTGCAATCTCCGCCTCCTGGGTTCAAGTGATTCTCTTGCCTCAGCCTCCCAAGTAGCTGGAATTATAGGCGTGCACCACCATTCCCAGCTAAGTTTTGTATTTTTAGTAGAAACGGGGTTTTACCATGTTGACCAGGCTGGTCTCAAATTTCTGACTTCAGGTGATTCACCCACCTCAGCCTCTCAAAGTGCTGGGATTATAGGCGTGAGCCACCACACCCAGCTGCAATTTCTTTTTTTAAACAGGATCTTGCTCTACCACCCAGGCTAGGGCACAGTGGTGTGATCACTGGTCACTGCAGTCTCAGCCTCCTGGGCTCAAGCAATTCTCCCAGCTCAGCCTCCCAGGTGGCTGAACTTCTACTATAGGTGCCAGCTACCATGACTGGCTATCTTTCCTTTTTCTGTAGAGATGGGGTCTCCCAATTTTGCCCAGGCTGGTCTCGAACCCTTGGGTTCAAGCAATCCTCCCGCCTCAGACTCCCAAAGTGCTGAGATGACAGGTGTGAGCTAAGGCCCTGGCCTGTAAGCAATTTCTGATATTCCAAACAAAAGTAAGAATTTTCTGAAAATGTCCTGTGGAACAAAGAAGTCTCTTCCTGTCTATTTATACAGAATCCTTAGCATACAGCTTGCCTTTTGGCAATGAACTTAGAAAATACTGCCCTGACAAACCTGCAACCTGGATTTTACACTGCAGTGTTTCTCTCTCTTTTTTTTTTTTTTTCCTTTTCTCATCTTTGCTCTCAGTTGCAGCATATATCTTTGCAAATATACACCACAGTGTTTCTCAGTGTGAGTGCTACTGGCATTTCTATAGACAATTCCTCATCATGTGGGACTATCTGGCACATCGAAGAGAATTCAGCATTCCTGGTGCCTGCCTACTAAATACCCACAAGAGATTTTGACAATAAAAAATGCCCCTACGCCATTTCCAAATGTCCATGGGTGTAGGGAGGGTGGCAGGGACTATTGCTTCTAGTTGAGAACCACTGGACCAATGAGTCAAAAAACAGAGACAGAATCCCATAGTTTTGAGGGCACTTAGAAAGGAAATTAGGTTTGGGTTCGGAGAGCTTAATTTTTAAGCTTTCCTAACTTTCTTTTGAACTTATTGCTTAGTTCCATGCTGCGCCTGTCTGCTTCTCTATCCAGCCTGTACAAAATAAGATGCTTTTTGATTCTGTATGTTCATCAATCACTTCACATTGGATGCTGAGGTGAGGTGGGGAGTTCTTGTGTACATGGACTTCAGTGAACCATATGCTTGTACTGATCAGTTCCTGCATCAGTCCTCCATGTCTATAGCTCGTATCTTTACATTAGCTCCTACTACAAGAGCACTGCTGTCACTTCCATTGCTGCTCCCTCTTCTCCCAAAAGGTGTGCTGCTGCTGCTTTTTGAGATGGAGTCTTGCTCTGTTGCCCAGGCTGGAGTTCAATGGCATGATCTCCACTCACCACAACCTCCCTCTCCTGAGTTCAAGTGATTCTCCTGCCTCGGTCTCCTGAGTAGCTGGGATTACAGGTGCACGCCACCATGCCTGGCTAATTTTTTTGTATTTTTAGTAGAGACGGGGTTTCACCATGTTGGCCTGACTCGTCTCGAACTCCTGACCTTGTGATCCACCCGTCTCAGCCTCCCAAAGTGTTGGGATTACAGGCGTGAGCCACCGTGCCCAGCCTGGTATGCTTATTCTACTCCTGTGTATTGGGTCTTACTGTGTACCAGGCACTGCTAACTGCTTTATGACTATTAACCTTGGTGATCCTCACAGTGATTTTATGAGGCAGGTATACTATTACCCCTTATTTTACTCACAAGGAAATTAATAAACTTGCCCAAAGTTATATGCTCATGGAGAGTTAGAATTTAAAATCTACAGCCTGGTTCTAGAGTTTATGTTTTTGACATGAAAACCACAGTACTTCACAAATCACTCAATGTGCCTTTCTGCATATATGAAGGGATGTATTTTCTTACTTTCTCATCTACTTTAGGACTCCTTTTTTTTCATTCCCTGCACCCCGGGACCCCTCTTATACTACTAGGAGCAAACAACTATCATAGTTCAAATTTCTTGTCTTCAGCTTTTCATTATAGTAGAAAACTGACATCCCCTATGGCCTCTTCATGGAAGCCAGAATTTTCCACTTTCCTGAGAGACTGAAGAGTCCATTTTCTCCATATCTATCAGCATTATTTTTAGACTATCATATTTCTCTTGTCTTTACACATTTTTTTTTTTTTTTTTGAGACAGAGTCCAGCTATGTTGCCCAGGCTGAAGTGTAGTGAATGGCACGATCTCAGATCATTGCAGCCTCTGCCACCCAGGCTCAAGTGATTCTCCTGCTTTAGCCTCTGGAGTAGCTGGAATTACAGGCACGAGCCACCACACCCAACTAATTTTTGTATTTTTAGTAGAGACAGGCTCTCACCACGTTGGCCATGCTGGTCTCAAACTCCTGACTTCAAGTGATCTACCCGCCTCATCCTCCCAAATTGCTGAGATTACAGGTGTGAACCACCGAGCCCAGCCCTCTTTACGCTTTTTATTCTTCAATCACTGCCATGGCTAGGCTCCTTACTGTAACTCATTCATCTTTCTGGATGAATTCTGAGCCCAGTTTGTTTTCCTTCTTTCTAATCTATTTCCTCCAATGTCTTAAAATCGTCAACTTCTGGCAGGGCATGGTAGCTCATGCCTGTAATCCCAGCACTTTGGGAGGCCAAAGCAGGAGGATCACTTGAGGCCAGGAGTTCGAGACCAGCCTCGGTAATACAGTGGCACCCTGTCTATACATTAAAAAACAAACAAAAGCCCTTCAACTTCTGTGTTAAATGGAATTGAGCAAATCAACTATGGTATATTTGTTTGATGGAAAACACTACTGAAAACAATGTTACAGGCTGGGTAAGGTAGCTCACACCTGTAAGCCCAGCACTTTGGGAGGAGGATTGCTTAAACCCAGGAGTTTGAGACCAGCCTGGGCAACATGCCAAGACCCTGTTTTTACAAACAAATGCAAAAAATTAGCCAGGTGTGGTGTGCATCTGCAGTCCCACCTACTGAAGGGGCTGAGGTGGGAAAATCACTTGAGCCTGGGAGGCAGAGGTTTCAATGAGCTGAGATTGCACTGCTGCACTCCAGCCTGAGCCACAGAGCGAGATGTGGTCTCAGAACAACAATGTTATAAAGTACAGAAATGTAAATTATTAACATGAAAATGTATAATCTATTAAGTATATCTATGATCTACTGAGTAAAAGCAAGTTATGAAAATGCGTGTATGAGGCCAGGCGTGGTGGCTCATGCCTGTAATCCCAGCAGTTTAGGAGGCTGAGGCAGGTGGATTATTTGAGGTCAGGAGTTCGAGACAGGCCTGGCCAACATGGTGAAACCCTATCTCTACTAAAAATACAACAATTAGCCAGGTGTGGCAGCACATGCCTGTAGTCCCAGCTACTGGATAGGCTGAGGCACGAGAATCAGAACTCAGGAGGCAGAGGTTACAGTGAGTCGAGATCACACCATTGTACTCCAGCCTGGGTGACAGAGCCTGATTCCATCTCAAAATAAACGAACAAACAAACAAACAAAAACAAAGAAAATGTATGCATGGTATTTTCTACTTTAAAAAATATATATATATGCATGGAAAGAAATACAACTGGCCAGGCATAGTGGCTCACACCTGTTATCCCAGCACTTTGTGAGGCTGAGGCAGAGCAGATTGCTTGAGCCAGGAGTTCAAGACCAGCCTGGCGAACACAGTGAGACCCCAACTCTATTAAAAAAAAAAAAAGGAAAAATATATAACAAACGTTACCAGTGATTACCTCTAGGTAATAGGATTATGGGTGATGTTTTACTTTTTATGGTTATCTGTTGTTGTTGTTTTTTTGAGACAGGGTCTCGCTCTGTCACCTAGGCTGGAGTGCAGTGGTATGATCTCGGCTCACTGCAACCTCCACCTCCCAGGTTCAAGCGATTCTCCTGCCTCAGCCTCCCAAGTAGCTGGAACTACAGGCATGTACCATCACACCCGGCTAGTTTTTGTATTTTTAGTAGAGACAGGTCTCACCACATTGGCCAGGCTGGTCTCAAACTCCTGACTTCAAGTGGTCCACCCACTTCAGCCTCCCAAAGTGCTGGGATTACAGATGTAAGCCACCGTGCCTGGCCATGTATTTTCTGTTTTCCTAAACTAAATATGATTTACTTGTATAACAAAATACTTTAAAAGCACATCTGTTTGATTAACCTGTAAGTTCCCCCACTCCATGACTTCAGAGTTAGTATTCTTCAAACC